CTATATATGTATAGGCATGTGCACCTACGGACGCTAAGTGAAAAAGTTCTTTTTTTAATCTACTATGTATGTAAGAATATCTATTATACATACATTTGTATTTGATTGGGCGATCATAMGTGAAAGATCAACAATGATTATGTTAAAATTGTTACAATTACAGAAATAATTATCTCTTGAGCATAAGAAAATATGATTGCATTATAATGCATAATACTTTAAGCGTATTTCTGGTCAATACAGCTGCAGTCATTGAAACAGTAGTGAAAATGAGCTATGAATACTGGGCTCGATATCAACATAGAAATTATTAACAATATATATGTTAATATTAATATTTGTTTTGTACAACATTCAGTTGTTTTACCACTATATATATAAATACATATTGAATTTTGTATTTCATTTTAATTTTACTCCTTTTTCTGCCCGAAGCATATCCACTACTATTTGGTTGAACACTGCCTGCCGTATTGACAGCTTGCCGCCTCTCCCAGTCCCAATTAAATATAAATGCTATGATATGACATAACATGACATATTTTGTTAGATTTAATGTAGGTTTAAGCGAAATTTAAATTTAAATTTATTGAATACATAATTTTATTTTGATTTAGAGAGATATGTAGAAAAGCCTCTATCATATTTTATTTTAATAAAAAAAAAAATTGAAGAAAATATTGGAGTGTGTAAATCTTTATTTTTACTATTCAATGCAATTTATATGAATTTCTGCCGTGAAATAAGTACAAGTAACTGGGACAAATTCAGAAAAATCTACAAATATCAATAGAATTTCTTGTAAATCGTAAATTAACTTTAAATAGAACTCCCTTGCATTGGTCGTATTGGCATTGAATTAATCAGAATTTACATCATTTTGTTGTCCAATTACTCCCATTTTTGAATTGGCATTTTTGTATCAAGAAAATAGTAGTAAATATATACTACTACTATACTACTATTTGCACAAGTGTCTAGCTAAATATAATTTATCTGATATTACCCGGAGTCACTTTTGCATGCATTTGAAGACTAAAAATATATAAATCTCATTTGATTTACACTCCATTACCCTTAAAAAAAATACACATATACAACTGCTGCTGAGACACGAGCCTAGAAAAAAAAAATTAGAATGATAATATATTATTAGACAACAACAAAAAAAAAAATGCTGCCGTGTTTAACATTAGCAATTTTTATCACACAATGCAGCAAAAAAGCTCTTGAAAAGTTTAGACTTTACTTTCATCATAAAATAAGTCAAGATATGTAAATATATGCACATACATATGTACATCTCTCTCAACAGCAATGCGTATGCATATGTATGTATATAAATATTTGCTTAGACAAGTGCTAGAAATTTATACATACATATGTATATACATAGATATTTCTGTACTAATATTTTAATAAAAAAAAGCTTTATTTTATTCTAATAGCGGTCAAGATCTATATGTATGTCTATCTCTTTCCCTCCCTCTCTAAGCTAGCAATGTATGTATGTATGTGCATAACTGTTTAGCCAATARAGTCTAGTTTAGTGGATGCTGCGTAGTTGCATTTTGTTTTTGTTTGTTTATATTTTATAAATGAAGCGAAGCACTTGATATTAGTTGATGTTAGCCAAGTCTAAAAGGAAAATGAAGTTTTTGCCATTAGCTAAACAAATTGAGTTCAATCGCTTCACCTTCAGTGTTGCAGTTTGAACCGCAAAAGTGAGAACCATAAAATCTTGTTAATTGGCAATTGTTGACAACTTTATTTTATCGGTAAGTATGCGTATGCGTGTGTGTGTGTGTGTTTGTTTTATGATATATAGAACCTTTGGTCGTTTTGGTGATATTAGCGTCAGTAGCCCGTAACGAGAATAAATAACAAAATACAAACAACAATTGCAAAGCTGAAGCTGAAGCTGAAGCCGAAGCTGGCTCAGCAAAAGCCTTGAGGGGCGTCTGCGTCGACGTCGCCGTCGCAGTTAGCGTCGCCACAGCTGCATTGAACTTGGCGTGCATTTTATATAAATACAAACATAAATAAGTATATGTATGTATATGTATACATACATAGAGATATTCAGTTATCGTTCTTGTTCGTTTTTTTTTATTTTTTTTTTAATTTCATTTTTTTAATTGGCCAGGCAACTTTTGTTGTAATTGAATGTAAAAAACTAAGCAATTTAATTTTTTTTTTGCGAACTGGTTTTTGCGACTTCACAGCAAACATTTAAAGCCAGGCAGCCAAATAGCAACAACAACAAATGTCAATGTCAAGTTCATGCCATATTTGGCCACACACAGACACGCACACACACGCGCACGCATGAGATTTGAAATGCAAGCGCTATTGCTATCTCTTTCGTTTTAGAGTAGAATTTTAAAAGCTTTGGTTTTTTCTGATTTTTTTTGTTTTTTTTTTTTTTTTTTTTTTTTTTTTTTTTTTTTTTTTTTTTTTTTTTTTTTTTTTTTTTTTATTCACATTACAATTTAATTAGATCTATACTTTTTTTTTTTTTTGTCGTATATTATCTCCTCTTCTTTATTAAACGTTATTTCTACCTCACTTATGACGCATTTGCCGTGCTGGATTAGCCTCAGCTTCATATTCAACTTCATATTCCACTTGCAGTTTCGGTTTGCCGCGTCGCTTAGCTGCAACTGTTGTTGTTGTTGTATCCTTTGTTGTTGCCTTTGACTTCTTATCCTCGGAGCTGCGCTTCTTTGTGGGTTTCGTCGGCACGTGGGTGTCCTGCATAAAACATTTACGTTATTTAGCACTGCTTATTATAGTCGTTCTTTTCAATTATTATTATGAATTTTTATTTTCTGTTTTTGGCAATTTGTCACTCGAAAAGCGCGCTTTAGGTTTCGAGTCAATATGCGCGCGCGCGCGTTCATCGACTGCCGTCGCCGTCGTCGCTTGATGTGCATGGTGCTATCAGCGCCGCAGCCAGCAGTCGAGAACGGCGGCAGCGACGCCGGCAGCGCTGTCGTCTACTTTCTGCCGGCCGGCAACAAAACAAAAAACCAACTTGTCTTGTTTTCATTGCAAATTATGGTAATTAGACTTGGGCAGTGCCTGATTTTTGCATAAGAAACAAATGCGAAACAAAACAAATTCTGAGCGATGCAAATGTCAATAATAAACTCAGTCGAATGTAAAATTGCCAATTGAAGTGAAAAATAGAAAACAAAAACTAAAAAAACATAATAAATCTGAACAATCTGAGTTAGTACCTCAATATCATCCTCATTGTCATCATCATCGTCGGACTGCGCAAAGTCGCTGTCCATTTCCACCTCTTCGCGCTGGCCTGAATCGCTCTCCTCATCTTCATCATCATCATCGCCGTAGTCCTCTTCCTCGTCTTCATCATCATCGCTGTCCGCCTCGACAAACTCTTCTGTATCGTTGAGTGCACGTCGCAGCTCCCTGGCTTCATCCACTTCCATTTCCGTCTCATGCTCGCGCTCTTCCTCTTCGTCCTCCTCCTCGCGCTCGTCCTCATCCTCGTCCACATGCTCCGCTTCCAGCGCCTTGTTAAACGCCGTCTGTGAGAAATTGTAGATATCCTTGTACGTGCCCATCTTCAAGCGCGTCAGCAGCTCCTTCTCAATGTGATTATCGATCTTGGCCGCGATGAGCGCCTTCTGTTCACGACGCGCTTCGCGTCGTTCGATCTTCGTGGACAGCGGCACAATCAGCTTCTGGCGGCGCAGCTTCAGTCTTCGCATGCGCATCAGATACTGTGTGATCTTCAGGAATCTCTGCTTGTTTTTGGCTATCATGTATTTGGGCCAGAATACCAAGTTCTCGTTGATCTGCTGGATGGCCTTCTCGAAGTTGCGCGACAACTTGATACGCTCCCACAGCTTGCTCGGCATATGTGCCCGTTCCGCTGTCTTGATGAACAGATAAATGATGCCCTTCTCCTCGCGCACTGTTGCATATTGTGAGTTGGCCAGCGGGCAGGTGCGACGCGTGCACAAGCCCGTCAGATTGTATTCATGGCGACAGAAGGTGCGCGTATCAGTTCTGCAAGGAAACGTTTGTTTGTTCCTAATGTCATTTCCATTTTAATTCAATTTATTGGCACTTACTTGACTTTGTGTGAGCAGAAGGATTTGTTGATGATGCTCCAAACGACCTGGGCGGGAGTGAACAGTTTTATTTAGGTTTCACTTAATTGAATTTGGCATACTCACATCGTCGTGTTGCATTTTGTCTCAATGTTTTGATTTAACGTTTCAGTTCTGTATATTATGAATCAAATTAAATACTTTTTGTTAACACGTGCAACGTGCTAGCGGCTTTCAAAACACACGGCTCGTGTTTAGCATTCGCATGTCTACGTTTTCGTGTGGCCACCTAGCATAATCGATATATCGATAACATATACATTTTGTCTATGCAACTAATACGCTGCACGCGAAACATGACATGATTCCAATGCTTAATTTACTGTTTTTATGCAAAAATGTATATTATTAATTTAGTACAATTAATATTATAACAGCATTTTCATTCATAGTCCTATTACAACCAGTCAATATTTTTGCATGTACGCAGATTTATAATTTGCATGCAAATTATTATTTATATAAATAAGCATGAATATATTACTTATTTAATGCTGTGCAGTAAAGATAGTGTTGGGTAGCTTGGCAAATCATTTATTATTCTTTAATAAAATTGCAAGTGGCCAATTGCTCACCGCTGCCATGTTGAGCAGCATACCTTGCCACACAGCTTAAGACATTTTATTCAATAGTGCCGGCTATCGCCAGTCGTGTTGACCGTATGTCATTTAAGTCTATCGACATCGATATTGCTTTAAAAAAACTGACATACAAGGACACAAGAGCTAGCCGCTGTCACTGCCCGGTTTTCTGTAGTTGTAATATACATACGTATATATAAAATAGTTTGACGTTTATTTTCTGACATTTTATCGTGGCTGTGGCTGGAAGTAGTACAAGTCAAATAAAATATTTTAAAAAACTTTTACAACCTGAAAAAAAAAAACCAAAAACTATGAAATCGCTTCTATTAATGATTGCCGCCAAGGCGCTGCCGATTTTGGCGCTTAGTTTTGTGCTCTGTCTGCTGCTCTACAAGATGTACGTGCACGTGCGGTAAGTAAGACAGAAATTTTATTCACATAATGTGTATGTATGTATGTATATCGGTATGGGACTTGAGGTAACAATTATGCTTCAATTTATGATATATATGTATGTATCTTCGTGGTTAGCTCACGTTTCGGCATAACGGTAAACTGCTGGTTCTGTAACACAAACTCGCGCGTGCCGTACGGCAATCGCAACAGCTGGAACTGTCCCGAATGCGAGCAGTATAATGGCTTTACCGGCGATGGTGACTATAATCGTGATATATTCGCTCAGCGCGACTGCAGCATACGCTGCGACTCCTCGATGGAGAGCAACAGCGGCATCATGCGTAACGGGCTCTGTGCCAATGCTTACTATGGCAACGCTATGGCCGGCGGAACGCCGCCACCGCAAGATAACGGACTGTGCGACCAGTGCAACGAGGCGCAGCGCCTAAAGATTGAGAAGCTGGCCCAGTTCGAGCCGCGTATCGAGGCGCGCTTCGACCAGGAATTGAAACGCTTTAAGTGAGTAGCCCAGAGAGTATTCTCTTCTGCTCCATAGATTCACTCATTCGCTTGCCCGCAGACAAGAGCTGGAAGAGCGCTATCGCCTCTGCACCACCTGTGAGCGCCATGTCAACCGTGTGCTCCACGAGAAGAAGAAAATGGTGCTGGGCGCTAAGCTGTTGAATTTCATTATGAAGGGCGCCGCCTTGCTCAAGCAGCCGCACTATGAGCGTCTCGCTCATGCCCAGAAGCAGCGCTGCCTGATGCGCTACCAGCTCTGGATGAAGCTGATGACAATGGTCAACATCGTCTGTCTGCTGTGCACCCTGCCCACGGCCACACCGGAGCAGTTCACCGAGTTGCTGGGCAACATACTGGCCAAGCCCGCCTATTTCGTCTACACGCACGCCCTGACCATGCTGCATCTGACCATCGCCTATGCCAGCGAGTGGCTGGCCGCACAGGCCTTCCTCTCAAAGCTCTGGATGTTTGCCGCCGTCGTGGGCAAACTGGTCTTCTACACCGTGGGCACGCCGCAGTCCCTAGCCGACGAGGTCACCTTCAACAGCTGCTACACCAGCTTCTATCCGTATGCCATGCTGGTCATCAGTTTGATTAGTAACCTTGTCTCTGGATTCAAGTTGACTCGCTATACCGTGCTGCTCGTCCTGTGGAGCATCTATGCCAAAGGCTCCTTTTTGATCTTTGAGGCCATCAATGGGATCACCTTCATTGTGAGTACTCTTAATCTTCCATGTCAATTGCTACTCCAAGCTTCACTAATCCCATTCCTGCCAAAGCTGTTGGGCAGCTTGTCCACCCTGATCCTGTTGTATATGCGCGACGAGAGTCGCCTGGAGCATCTGTCGGCTTCCGAAAGCTTCCATCGCCTGTGCACAGACGAGTGCATCAACGACGAGGAGACTATCAGTATGATCAGCGAGCAGCTGAGCTGCAATGCGAGCAACAACAGCAATGCCAGCAACCTGTCCGTGCTGAACTCCAACTGTCCGACTCCGAGCCCGGCCCCGACTCAAGTGCCAGCCCGGACCCCGACCCCGAGACCGAATCCCCCCCCACAGCTGCGCAGCGGCAGCCTCAACAGTCTGGGCAAGCCCCTTATTGCGCCTTCGGTGTTGTCCATGGGCTCGCTGCGTGTCTCTTCGCAGCGCACACACCTCAATCCGATGTCCCCATCCCCGGTGCCTTCACCGACGCCAGCCTCCAGCTACAATCCCAACTATCACACCCAGACGTCCATGTACTCGGCCGGCAGCTTGGACCAACAGTGCTGGCGCCGCAACTATGCCGTGGGCGTGAGCACGATTGGAGAGGATGGTATTTGGCAGCGCAGCGGCATTAACTCCAATTATCAGACTTCTGGACAGACAATTTATGGCCTTGATCAGCGTCCGATGACGCGCTCCAACAACAACTTGCTCTATCCGTCGCACCTCGTATTGCAGCAGCAGCAGCGCGARAGCAACATCTCCGCCTGGGTGAACGCCACCAGTGTCCATACGCAGCCGGAACTGCTACATGAGCCCAACACCGCCAATCTAWTGCAGTGCAACAACAACAACACTCGCGACCTCTCACGCACCTCGTCCCAGTCCTCAGGCTTCGAGTCGCAGCTGGGCAATCAGCGTCCCGAGCCATCACAGTGGGGATCAGTATCCGGACAGGACCAGGCATCGCTGAACAATCTGAATCCGAGTGTGGGACGCGATTACCCATTGCCGTTGCGCGTGCAATCGCCTCAGGGCTCGCCGTACGCTGGACAGGTGGTTCACGATATTCGTCCCGGGGATCTGTTGCGCAAGTGGATGGAACGCGACGGAACCGCCAAGGCCAATTGATTAATCATCTAGTCTTCTTCTAGTTCATTAGTTGGTTTGTGTTCATTCGTTAAACTTTCAGGTTTTTTCTTTCTAATTTTTTTATTTTCTTTTTCTTTTCTTCTTCTTTTTTTTTGTTGGCTTGAACAATAAAAACGAAACACTAACCATTTTTTTTTTGCTATATAACTATAATAGTATAACGACTCAGGAATCAAGGACGCTATATTTCATAGATATATTTACTATATTAAGATCTTGATTAACGATATCTTTTGAAACTAAAATTATAATTAATTGTAGAATAGTTTTTAAAGCTAACCGAACTGGATCGATCTTAAAATTTAAGAAATGTTGAAAAGAAAAAACCTGAGAAAAAAACATATATATAGATATACTAACTACCCCGGTCCAGTTCCCCAGCAAAGTCACAAATTTTTATTTTAAAAGATATCCTAACATATAATGGACAGAATAGTTCAAATATTTATTACAATCTGCCAGAATATTGTTATATATATAGAAAAAA